CTCTAACGCATTTTACGAGTATTTAAAAATTTCTTGTTACTGCCTCGGCTGCTCTGCTGCTGACAATTGTTATTTGACTCTTTGATACATTTTTATTTTATTTCAAGTTCAATCCAACGCAAAGTAATAACTTTGGTAACATTTGAGGCGGTGTCACAGTAATTGAGCTCTTGTGGCAAGAAAAAAAAAGAAGCAGTAATAATAATTGTTTCGTACATAAATATTAAGCTCTATTGTTGCTTCTGACATTGTTGTAACTTAGAAAGTGTGACATTTCTTCGTATTTTCTTCTTTCTGTTTTCTTTTCAATTTTCTTCGCTACACACAGTCTTTTGTTACCGATATGTTAATGAATTTTGTGCGGTTATTTCTTATTATTTGTATTTACCTCTATAGGACTTGAAGTTAATTTCATTTTATTTTTTCGGTTTTTTTTTTCCATATAATTATCATAAAATCAATACATAAAGACAGAAATATAGGCTAATAGTTATTATTTAAATGTGTGTATTTTCCGAAAAAATTCCCGTATATATGACGATAGACAAAATAGATTACTAGGTATAGACCTTAGGTGCCTATATTTCGCTTATTCGACTTCATTAGTCCGGACAATTGTGCCCTCTCCTAACGTATGGCGATACACTTTGACGCGGATTCATCTGCTCGCCCAGGCTATAAACTTTTTTTTTTTGTGAAAATTTTCCCCTAACAAAGTGGTCGAGCACGTAGTGAGCTGAACGTAAGTGAGAGCGTAAATTATGACAATCCCATCAATTAATGTTTTGCGTTTTATTCATTTTTATATCGTATGCCGCCAGTTACTACAGATGTCAAGGGGTATATTAAGCTGTGTGCGGACGCGTACAACAACGCGAAGAATTTGAAACAGGCCCACCCTTTTATTACACCGATCAGAATTACATTCTGAATCGATCTAAACTTGCCCGTCCGTCTGTCCATCTTATGTGGGTGTGTGTATTCTTTTATTCAACCTGTAGGTCATCATTTTCGATCTATTTCGATGAAATATCGTACACTGAGTTCTTTCGGTCCAAGAACAAAACGCTTTCTCCACCGTTTCTCATCTAACGCCTTATTTCGAAAGGTCGTTATAGGAAAAAAATAGCAATTTTTAGAATTCCGCGACGAAAAATACAGAGTAATAGTATTTTTGACATTTTAAATTGATGTGGAAAATTTTGATCGTGTGGATCCCGTATCATGTAATTGTTGCTGAAAAAGTCAAATATTTCAAATGTTCTTGGGAAATTAGTGCATAACTGTGACCTGATACAGAAATTAAGCGTACCGAATTCGGACCACGTAGATTTACTTTCTGCCAACCCCTATCAAAAATTTTAATGTC